CAGCGCGGCGGACGGCTCGGAGGATGCGGGGCCGCCCCGCAGTTCCGCACGGCGATGACGTGGGCCTCTTGCGTCCGTAACGGGGAGGTCAACGCGGCGCGGGGCGTTGTGGTGCCGGGAACAGGCAACCTGCACGGGGTTGAGGAGGCTTTTTTGCGAGCATTTTCTGGGGTGTGCGGGTGCACGCCCTCGCTGAACCCCGGCAACACGCCGACGATCGGCTTCCGGGCGGCGCTGCTTTTGGATGCGCAGTCCCCCCGCCGCGTCCAGCTCGAGTCTGCGGTCAGGTTGACGTGCACCGTCGAGCGAGGCGGCCGCGTTTGCAATGGGCGTCACCGTAAATGACTGGCAAAGGGCAACGGTGAGAGCCAGCACGCCGCCGCAGCAGCAGCAAATTATTTGGCCACGACGCCTCTACACGCAAGGTGCGCAGCTTCGTGTTTCCCCTGTGCTACGGACGGAGACTACCGGCTGTTCGGCTGTTTCCCAAACACTCACACAAGCACAAAAAAAAGGGAACGCCGCGGGGCTGCACAATGGCTGCGCTGAAGGTTGACGCCTCTAAGTTTCTGTGTGCCACATCAATTTTGGAAATCCGCTTGATTACGCATTTTACTTTTATTCAAGGCGGTGAGACGAAGTATGCTCGCTTTCCTTTTGGGCGGGCCTCCTCGGGCGATCCTGGTCTCCGCTTCTTCCTCTGGCACCCGTCAGTTCTGGCTTCGCGGCGCTTGCAGGACTCCTCTGGGAGTGCGCGGAAGCATGGCATTTAAAAAAAAAACGTGGGCTCCCGGCGAATTGTCTCGGCACGGGTGCGGCTTCACACGGTTATTGCGCGTTGCCGCTTCCGGCTCTTGCAGGCGTCGAGGTGGGCCAGGGAACCGCTGTGGTGCTCCCCCAACACTTCTCTCGTGCAGGCGGAAGCACGGGCCGTTTTGCTTGCCTTGCTGGCATTCACGGAGGGTTTGCCCCAACGCATTGGTGCCTGCAAGGACACTGCCCCGTTGCAGGGTGACGCCATTGCAGGGAGGGCAGAGAAGTGCGCCTTGGCGCGGCAACTGAAACTTGTATTTTGTGTCCCCTGCATCGACACGCCTTCAGCACACGTGCGGTCACAGGGCATCTCCGCGCGGATGGCGCGTCGCGTGG